GCAGCGCTTGTGCTCCAGGACCAGGTCCTCGCCGCTGAAGCTCCTTGGGTAACGTTTGCTACACGGCCACTCGCACGATCAGTTGAGCACGAGCCCGTCTACGTGTTGTGAGGTGCGTAGCACAGGGCTCCTTCTCTTGAGGAGCCCCCCAAGTACAGGCGTGAAGTGGAGCTGCCCCTACTGAAGCTGGCTGTGGTTAGGAGGCTGTTGTGTTTTGTCGCGGTTGGCGAGGTCCCTTGCTGACCCGCTGCCCGAGGCGCCCGCCCCCTCCCGTGGTCTCGGCCTGACGCTGGTGTGTCGCTGACGGGCCCTGAAAGCCCGGGGAACGAATGGTCTGTCGGGAGCCAGTGGATGCCCTTTGCACCATACAGGAACACACGTCTGTGAAGCGTATTTGGTGGTTGAGTCTTGCGTTATTTGGGAAAGACCATCTGCTGCTGGTGTTACAGGAAGCGTGTTATGTTCTCGGAGCTCGGTTTCCCCTTCGCGCACATTCTTTCTGCCTGTTGTTTCTGGTTACTTCATTTGTAGTAAAATTTCCATGCAAATTTATTAAAAGAGAAGGAAGGCAAACAAAAACTTCCTTATTTGAAAGCTGCTTCTACCTGTGGTTCTGCCTGCTGAAATAGTTGGCAGCCAAGCTGCAGTTGCTGTCATTTCTTTCCAGAATCAGCTGCTGAAAAGGAGTTTCATAGATGTCACAGACATTCGGGCTGGAAGGGACCTCGGAAGATCATCGAGTCCAGCCCCCCGCCCAAAGGGCAGGAAGTCAGCTGGGGTCATAGGATCCCAGCAAGATAAGCATCCAGTTTCATCTTGAAGGTGTTCAATGAAGGCGCTTGAACCACCTCCGGTGGCAGGCTGTTCCAGACCTTGGGGGCTCGGACAGTAAAGAAATTCTTCCTTATGTCCAGCCTGAAACGGTCTTGTAGTAGTTTATGACCGTTCGACCTAGTCATCATCCCTTGGGGCGCTCTGGTGAACAAACGTTCCCCCAGATGCTGGTGGTCCCCCCTGATAAACTTATAGGTGGCCATCAGATCACCCCTGAGCCTGCGCTTTTCCAGGCTAAAGAGCCCCAGGGCTCTCAGCCTGTCGTCGTAGGGTCTGCTTCCCTGACCTCTGAGCACGCGCGTGGCTCTTCTCTGGACTCTCTCAAGCTTCTCCACATCCTTTTTGAGTTGTGGAGCCCAAAACTGGATGCAGTACTCCAGCTGCGGCCTCACTAGGGCCGAGTACAGGGGGAGAATGACGTCCCGGGATTTGCTTGAGAAGCATCTATGGATGCCAGCCAGTGTTTTGGTCGCTTTACTAGCCGCCGCATCGCATTGCAGGCTCATGTTCATGTTGTGGTCAATGATGACCCCCAAGTCTCTTTCTTCCATAGTGCTAGCCAACATAGCACTGCCGAGCCTATAAGGATGCTGCGGGTTTTTCTTCCCAAGGTGGAGAACCTTGTATTTATCGGTGTTGAACACCATCAGATTCTCGTCTGCCCACTTGCTGAGCCTGTCCAGGTCAGCCTGGATCACCCGCCTGTCTTCTGGTGTGGATGCTTTACCCCAGAGTTTGGTGTCATCGGCGAACTTGGCCAGTCCACTTCTGTCTCCAATGTCCGCATCATTAATGAAGACATTGAACAATATGGGTCCAAGGACAGAGCCCTGGGGGACCCCACTGGTCACAGGACACCACGATGAGTGATGTCCATCAATTACTACCCTCTGGGTCCGACCCCGGAGCCAATTTTCCAGCCAGTGGATCGTGGTGGACCCAAGGCGACAATTGGCCATGTTGGATATGTTAAATCTGGTCTTGGAAGAAACCCCTTGTTTAGTGCCTCCTAGACAACAGGATTTCTTGAAATGCATTCCAGATATTTTAATACTGTGACTGCCTGCTACTTTTCTCTGAGATGTGGAAGACTCCCTGCGCTTTGAAGTGTGTGCAGCAGTCAGCATCTTGTGAGGTTGAGACCAAAAGTAGTGAATTGCGTGTACTGAAGGGCCGTAGTACATTTGAGGGAAAGACGTTTCCTCCCCTTGGGTATCCCTGAAAACTCCATTAAAAAAAAATCCCACGTGAGCTCGTGTGGTGTCTGTCGCCGCAGCGCAGCTTTCCAGCCTGTCAGCAACTCTTCTCTTATGACCTCTGGCTCCTTCACCTTCCCTAGTCCCTTGGCGTTTTCCACACTGACACTTTTCCTGTAAGTAGGAGGTGAGCAGCAGCCTGAATGCTTAAGTGGCTTTATAACCTCCATTCAGAGTAGCCTCTGTCCTCTGGGGACTTGCTCAGAGAGAGCCCGAGTCAGACAGAGAGAACAGGAGCCACCTGCCTGACGCACTTTCTGTGTGCTTTCGATAATGCATGCTTTTTCTCTCTCCAGCTTCCCTGTTAGTTGGTTGCATCATTGAGCAACAAAATCAATTTCCAGGCTCAACCACTGACCTTTAATTCTTTAAGAAGAGACAAAAGTATGCACCCCAGTGATGAATAGAGACACAAGAGCAGTTTACAGATCCCACTCTGTGGTGACTTCTGTGTGGGTGGAAGGTCTGCGTTGGATCCTGCTGTTTCACTTCACTCTGAGGTTTTACAGTGAATTGGAGAGCCTGTGCTCCCGCAGTAGTGCACATTAGCCTGTAGAGCAAAACCACAATTCTTAAAAATAGAACATCAAAGAAACCCCCTCTGATTTATAAATAGGGATGGGTTTCATCTAGAAAAGATTGAAACTGAGCTTTGCTAGTTCTGATTTCCAGATTAATCTGATGATGTGAACTGACCTAGAAGTTTTCCGTCACTGCATCTCTGACTCTGTTTTCTGGAAGTGCGGGCTTTGGTGGTTTCTCCTTAGCATGATGCTTAGGGTTCTGGTGACCGTGTGCGTGCGGTGCTCGGGGCGCAAGCAGAACTACTTGTGGGTAGTGACCTGAACTGTTCTCCCCATTGTATGGCCAGTGCTAGCTGCGTCTGTGGATTGCTGCTGTGCCAGGGGCAGTGGCGGCTTTTTGAAAGGCTTGCTGTTGCTACGCAAGTCTGTGCTCTCCAAGCGAGTGACAATTCCCAAATTGGGCTGCAAAGATCAAGCGAGATACACAGGTTGATCTTTAAGTCTTGGAGGTGGTCAGGCCCATCCATGCCCCAGGCACTATCTTCCTAAAGTGACAGTGGCAAAGAACCTCCCTTTGCTCACTTATCTGGTCGCTGTCCTGGCACTGCGCTGCTTATGGAGAGGGATGAGCCTAACTTTTACCTTCAGCTTCCCAGCAAGGAAGCAGCTCCTCTGGAATCCCCAAAGTGCTTTTAAAAAATACTCCTAGGAACTGGACTGTGGGCCATTATCTTGTCATTCGGGGAATGCAGTCTGAGCCCTGCCCGGTCAGCAGAGTGTTGAGGAAGAGGCTGATCCCGGCTGGTCTGATTCATGAGTTACTGCCACAGCGTGTGTCACACTTGCTGCCTTATATGGAATAATTCCAGGAAGTGTTAGCTTTCTCGATAGGAGTGTTGTAACTCTGTCTTCCTTGTGGGTCTTCACGCAACATGCTTGTTTCTAAAAAAACAAAACCAAAACAACCAAACAAAAAAACCCTTTTTTTAAACTTGGTTGGTGTCATCAGAAGTGGGTATTCTAGGGAAATGTGTTGGAAACAGCATGAAATACCAGAGTTCTGGCAAAGGGCTTTTGAAAGTGGTGTCTGATGTGGACATCCTTAGGGGAAGGCTTTGTTCTTAAAAACCAGATTAGCATTGCTCATAGTCCCCAAGTCAAAGCTCAGTCCACAGGAGCTGCTGAAAAATGCCGTTCTTGGGAATTCTTGCACAAACTGACTCAGACCTGTGTTGCGATGAATAGGTGGTGACAAGGTTATGGACTTTCTGGGAAATGCAACTGCAAGTTGTTTGGCTACTGTGTAAGGCTGCTTTCAAACCTGGTGAAGATCCTGTGTTTTATTATGAAGCAAATACATGAAATCATTTTCCTGGAATCTCTGCTCATTTGGGCTTTGGGCAGTGGTAAAGCCTAAGGGTCCCGGTAACGGTCATCCCTTTCTGTGAAGGTGATGGTGAAATGCATCACGCCAGATTACAGGAGTTGCGCTTTGGCCTTGGGGGACCAGCCGTTCCTCAAGGATATGGTCAGCAGCGTGGTCCTTTGGGTGTAGGAGTCCTGTTCTGTAAAAGGGATTAGTAGGGGAGAGCAGTCTCCTGCTAGCTCTGGAAGTGCAATTCCACTGCCTACTTTTCTGCTCCAGGATCTGTCTGGGCTGCCGGGCCTAGCTGTGCTGAACTATGTGGTGTCTGATGTGGACAAATCTTCACTGAGGGCCAGGTGCTGCCTGCCATTCTCACTTGTGTCTCCTGCAGGGCTTTGCTCCAGGTGCTCTAAGGGAAAGGGATGGCTTGTCACCCGATAAGCATCACTCTCACCTCCCTGCCCCCCAAAAGCAATCTCCGAGTAAGGGCTGCCTTCTCCCCAGGGGACTCCTGACAGCGTGGGAGGCCAGTTATTCTCTGAGAGTGAAGTCGGGCTCCCTGCACCTCCTTTGTAGCCTTTGTGAGGGAAACTTTGTCCCCCCCTGGCCCCTGTGCTCTGTGTACCACTGCAGCTGGCAGCTGTTTCTCCCCATTCACTCTTCTCCCCTCGCATACTGGAGTTGAGGCTCATGTTGGCATTTGCCTCTCGGAAGCTTTCTCTGGGTTTTCCCACTGCAGCAGGTTCCTGGCTGGAGAGGTGTGCTGTATTCTCTCCGTGCCTGTTGCTGCTTGTTGGTCTGTTAGCCTTGGGCTGTGCTCCCTTTGTGGTGCGGAGAGCTGTTACTGATTTCCAGCTCTGCCCTTCTATCTTTTGTTGCAGTTTCCCGTTTCCAGACTGGTGATTCTGCTATGAATAATGAAGGTGAAAGGCTGCGATGTGTAACACGGGGTCGATTGCATCCCCTGGCTTGTATACCTGTAGGGCATCTGTGGGCAGCCACAGCTCTGTCACACGCAACTCCTCAATTTTTTTCCTTTGCCAGATCATCATGGCTGCTCTTGGCACCGTTGCTCACCCCTGCTGTGCCCCTGCTCACGTCCCCCCCTTGCTGCCTGTGCCCAGAGGGAGCCCACAGGTTCCAGTGGATCAGAAATGTGGTTCCAGAGTTCGGGATCTCCAGCTCTCATGTTAAGGTGCTCTCGTCCCCAACTGAGTTCTATGAGCTCCTGAAGGTGAGTTGTGTGCTCCCAGCAGGCTTGGCTTTCGGGAGCACTGACTGGGATCTGTGTGGGGGGTCCCATAGCATTATATAGCTCTTCAGACCCGCATCAAGGCTGGCTCGAGACCTTTCTTAGGCAGTTTGCCTTGGATCTTTCTGGCAGAACGAACAAACGAAGGGTAGGAAGGCAGTGTTCCTGAAGCCTTCAAGACGTCTTAAAGTCTTAAGATGGTGGCCTTATGATTTGTGACCTTGGAGAACAGCATGCGCTAGGCTGGGGGTGGCAGTCTTTTGCTGCCATGGGCTTCAGATCTCCATACCCCCTTGCAATCAGCAAAGGCTGTGGCGGGAAAAGGCAGGCAGTAGGACCCTAGGAGCATCTCTTCTGCTGCTCTGGGTAGAGCCTGCTGCTGCCACAGCCAGATCCAGTCTCTTATGGGCTGGGCTGGCCACAAACTGAAGGTTCCTGACCCCTGGGTTAGGCCACAGGCACCAGACGGTTTAGTCGATAGGAGCTGCCTTGCTCCCAGAGTGGGGCTAAAGCGATAAGAGAGACAGAGAACTCCTATTAGTGAATGACTGGTTTAATTAGCGCAGGGGAAGCAAAAGCTTGTGTCCAGGGCCCCAGGGCCCTGTCTCATTAAGTGCAACAGAAATTGGGCCCTTCTGAGGCAGAAGCTTGAGGGGACCGGCTTCACTGCTGTCTGCTGGCCAGCAGCGCCACCTGCTCCTAGGGAAGGCACAACTCCTTTTCTTGGCCAGGAGAATTTAGGTGGGAAATAAGGGAATAAAAATGATGAGAGAGGAAGAAGTTGGCAGGGGGAAATCCCAAGACTGCTGTACTAGAGCCATGGCAGGAACAGAGGGTAGTTGCCTTGGATGCCTAGCAGGCAGAGCTGCAGGGAGCACGTCACCCAATTTTCCAGATCCTGCTTTGATTTCCTATGTGCTTCTGTTTGCAAGTCAAGGTGCTGAAGTTGCTCTAAAAACTACAGCACATCTGTCCCACATCAGACTGTGGGGGAACACAGCCACAGAAACGCGCCCTGCTTGCTCGCTTCCTGCTCCTGAGCCCGAGCGTAGCATGGGGTGTGCCAAGGAGCAGCTGCCTTGTGCTGCTCAGCACTTGGGGTGCGAGGAGTGTTGCCACAGTTTTGTGCTTAGCAGGGCTCTCACGGTGTAGACAAGGCCAAAGTGGTCTACAGCCTGGTTGCTGGAGACCTGCCCTCATGTTCACTCCCCACTGCGCTGTGGGGGGCTGGGAGGCTCCTGCTGGTCTGGCAGAGTCTGTTGCAGCCTTTGGCGTAGGGTTTGCACAGGGGTAAGGACCTCTTATTCCATGTGGTGCTGCAGTGAACTGGTGACACTGGGTGGGGGGAGGCAAAAACTTGGGCTTAGAACAAAATGTGTTCGACTACTTGTCTCTGGCTTAATTCTCTAGCTCCTAGGGTCACAAAAGAGGGGCGTTCTTTCCAGGGACCTAAGGACCTTCAGGACACTACAGCTCAGTCTTTTTCTTCTCCCATGGCCCTCAGGCACAGATCAAGGCCGCTAAGCAGCGAGTGGTGATGGCTTCACTATACTTGGGAACAGGATTCCTGGAACAGGAGCTGGTAAGTATGGGGTGAGTGGGGGTGCTGCAGAGGTTTGTGAAAACCCCTAGATATAGTGCAACTGTGATTCACATCATGCAGATGTAGCAAGTGTGATGTGCACATGCACAGCCTCCTGCGCCAGCCTGTTGCACTGAGAGCAGACCCCGGTTTGTCTCTTGCCGGTTTACCTCTGATGCTGTCTGCCCTTCCCAGTGTCAACAGCATCTCTCTATCAGAGGCTGCGAGTAGAAATCATGGGTTTTGAAGTCATGCATGGCTTGGAATGCAAATTCCATGGTGAAGTGGGTCTAAAACAGCTTGACACAGAGTTGTTTGGCTTCTCTATGGACCTGTAACAGGCTTATGTCACGTACACAGGACTCCAACTGCCTGTGATAGGCAGCTCTCCACTCAAGGAGTATGGCTGTCTGTGCTGCTCACAGGAGTTGTTCCCTCCCCTTTTGGCTGGCTTCAGCAACTCTGATTTGGGAAGAAGCTTGGGTAATTCTCTTCTGTGCTTAACTGGAATGCAGAGGCTTGAATAATGCTTTGCATGCATATAAAGTCAGTGCTGCAGGTTGGCATGGTGCTTTGTATGCATACGAAGGGACAAGGGGCCCTGTTTGAAGCTAGGTCTGAATCAGAGGAGTATTTGATCACTGGGACGGGTTGAGGCAGAGGTGTGCAGGCTTTCCCAGCAGCTGGCTGTGCACATGACATGCAGGGTGATCTTTCCTCAGGTGGATTGCTTAGAAGAGATGTTGGACGGGTCGCTGCAGGCAAGTGGATCATCCTCTGATCTCAGGGTTTCCATCCTCCTGGATTTCACAAGGGGATCTCGCGGTAGGTACCGAACGGGGGTGCCCCTTTTCCACAGTCTAAGGTTCAGTCGCAAACAGCTGCACTGGTAGTGTTGGGTACCACAGTATCTGTATCCTTAGAGCAGGGAGCTCCAGGTTCATCAGGCCCAAAGGTTTGCATTCTGTTCTCTTCTAAAACTGGCCTGTTTCCTATGAACAAGGGGTCATCCAAAATACAGTAGCTTTGTGCTCACAGGAAACCCTCAGGTGAGCAGCATTGCAGTCACTGCATCAAGTCCTGCTCTCAGTTATGCCTCTGCAAGCCCACTGACTCCAGTTCTGGTGCCAGCAGTACTCATCCTGCCCTTCCCCCTGGGAGTTTGTCATGCAGTGTCAGGTAGGAGTTGACAGAAATCGGATCTGTGCTGGCCCTGAATCTGTTGCAGTACATCCTCCTAACACATTCTACTGATGTTACGTGTGGCCGGGTGAAGAAGCTTGAGCGCGCCACTCTCTGGGTAATCCTTTATAAGGCCCATCCCCTGATGGGCTTAGGATACTTGTCTCGTCACTACAGAATCAATAAAAGTATAAAGAGAACATTACTCTTTTAAAACAAAGGAGCGGAGCCTTCCTAAAATACAAACAGGAGATCCTGTGGAGGCAGCTTGATGGGGATCTCTTGCCTTCTTGTTGGGACTTCCCACTGATGGATCTTGGCAGGACCCTGCTGAGATGCAATATGCACGTTTTCCCCTGTGGACACATTTCCACCTGTCTTTCAGGCAGGAAGAACTCCCGAACCATGCTCCTCCCACTGCTAAGAAGATTCCCAGAGCAAGTCCGTGTGTCCCTCTTTCACACACCCAACCTCCGTGGACTGCTGAGACTCTTAATCCCTGAGCGTTTCAATGAGACCATTGGGCTGCAGCACATCAAGGTTTATCTCTTTGATGATAATGTGATCCTGAGTGGGTAAGTCCTCACCACCCCCTCCCCTCCCCTGCTCTCGCTCTCTCGAAACCCTGTTCCATTTTGAGGCGGGGAATCTTACTGTTTTTACTGAGAGTTACAAAAGAGTGATCTATCCATGGTTAGGATGCCGGAGCAGGGCTGCAGGAGTACTTTGCTGCTTTTCAGTCAGCCAGCTAATGCTGTGGTTTTAATATAGAACTTAGTTATGCCTTTCTGATTGCGATAGTGCAGAAGTCGGGACCTTTTTTGGTTGCAGCATAAACTTCTCTGCACATCTGCATAGAGCTGGGGAGCAACATGCAGTTGCTGTTGGAGAATGTACTTTAAAAAAGTAAAATCAGGGCAGCTGGTAATCCTTCAGCCTCACGTGGGTCTGAGAATGAGATGCCCCAGATGCTCCCAGTCACACTTGCTGTATTCATTATCCTGACATTCTCATCCTCCCTCAGCGCAAACCTGAGTGACTCGTACTTCACCAATCGTCAGGACCGTTACATACTCCTTCGGGACTCTCCTGAGATTGCAGATTTCTTCACAGAGCTCGTGAATGCAATTGGAGATGTGTCTCTGCAGTTGCAGGAAGATGATACGGTCCAGATGATAGAAGGGATGGTGCATCCTTACCAAGGTATGAGAAGGTCTTCCTTGCCCGCCCTGGGCATGAGATGGTCCAATGGACAGTGGAAATAAGGCTAGTGGTGGTTGAGGTTGATTCTGTTACTCCAGCTTTCCCTGGTCTCTGAGATTTAATTTTGCTTAGCTGACTGCATCCCTTTCCCCTCCCACTTTTACAAAAAACAAAATGATTAAAATCTTCCGATTGGATCAGTCAAGAGGGCTGTTTCCTCCAGTGTGCCTTTTCTGAGAACTGATTCAGAGGAAGATGCAGGAGTGAGCAGTAGAATAACCAGCCCTTGGGGATTTCTTCTAAACTGTAGCAGACATTGGTGGCTCAGGCCGTGAAGCAGAGGGTTTGTGCCCTTTCTGCGATTCTTGCTGTTACAGCTCTGGTCATTCCATGTCAGTGCTCCAAAGACCATATAAGTCCAGTGCTATTTTCAATAAACAGTATTTTGCAATGAAATCTGTTCTTGGTTGTCAGATAAATATCTAATCGGGAGGAGGACAAGGGCCTTCTGGTGAAAGAGGAGGCAGACAAGAGTGGGGAGTTTTCAGATTAACACGATAGGTTTTCTTTCTGCCTGTGCACTGTGGCAGGTGGCAGCAGATGCTGTGGGCTGTGTATATTTCTGCATTGTGCATTGTTCAGAGAATTCTTGTCTTGCTTTGCAGGGAAAGAATGCTAATGGAACTTCGTCTAGAGCGTAAGATATTCAGGACTGTGGTGCTGCCATCCAAAAAAAAGCTCAATTCATAAGATGCCAACGTGCAAAGCTGCTTTCTGGCAGTCAAGTGACTTAGAGTACATGCACATTTGGAGCTGATTTCACAAAGCCAAATGTAATTGGAGCAGGCAGATCCAGTGAGCAGGAACAGCCTCCTGCAGGCCAGTCTCTCGCATGGTAATCCCACGTGCAGACCTGACTGACAGAGAGCAGACTTGCCTGGTACCTCCCATTTGGCTAGTGGCATGTAAATGTTCGTCTCAGTCTAATCACATACGCCCATGCTGTAAGACTCATTCCCATGGCTCCAGCCCCATTGACTCGCTGGCCCAGGTGCAGCTGGCTTATACACCCATCTCTTCCTATGAGTGAAGATCAGTTTAACACATGCTCTTGGTAGACTCCATGCTTTTCATAGACTTTCAAGTCCAGCCCCCTGCCCCAGGGGCAGGAAGTCAGCAGGGACCATAGGATCCCAGCAAGATAAGCATCCAAATGTGTCTTGAAGGCGTTCAGAGTGGGTGCTTGAACCGCCTCCGGCGGCAGTCTATTCCAAACCTTGGGGGCTCGGACAGTAAAGAAGTTCTTTCTTATGTCCAGCCTGAATCAGTCGCGGCAGAGTTTTTTGTGACTGTTCGATCTTGTCATCCCTTGGGGTGCTCTGGTGAACAGACATTCCCCCAGATCCTGGTGAACACCCCTGATAAACTTGTAGGTGGCCATCAGATCACCCCTGAGCCTGCGCTTTTCCAGGCTAAAGAGCCCCAGGGCTCTCAGCCTGTCATCGTAGGGTCGGTTTTCCTGACCTCTGATCATGCGCGTGGCTCTTCTCTGCACTCTCTCAAGCTTCTCCACATCCCTTTTTGAATTGTGGGGCCCAAAACTGGATGCAGTACTCCAGCTGCGGCCTCACCAAGGCCGAGTACAAGGGGAGAATGACATCCTGGGATTTGCTTCAGGAGCAT